TCTTCTGCAAAAATGGCGGCTCATTAGGCATGCAAATGAGGGTCGGCGATAGTCCACGCTTAGCCTCATTTGCATATTTCTGACGCAAGAAGCTGCGAGTGTCGACAGAGCCCTCAGGCCTGGCTCACCGCACTCCTGCTCATGCCGCCCAGAATCAGGGTTGCTTTTTTTGAACCAGCGTCGCACTGTTGACTCATATTCAGCTCGTGGCCCACTCGGACCCCTTGACCAGGATTTGTTAGTTCACATGATTCCTCAAAAGCTTCAGAGGGGGAGCCGCCTTAGTCTGGAACTGGAAAAACTTGAAAAACAACAACCACTCTAGCAGCACCTTGGAGACCAAGCAAACATGTAGCTGAGCTCAAGAGCGTCTGCGGACGTGTTGTAAGGCCGCCGAGTGTTCGTTCCAGGGCTGGGGTCGGGGAACTCCGAGGGGATGGTCAGGACCCGTCTCTGGGATCAGGACGACTGATTCCCAGCAGGGTGACTCTCTCTGAACCCAGGGCCGGGGCTCGGTTTGTGACCGTGCCGTGGGCTTTTTATGTCATTCTTGTTCTCTTCCCTTTTTGTTTGTTCTGTTTCATTTGAGGTCATGCTATCCTCTTAGTCGGTAAAACCCGCCGTAATTATTCCCTGGAACGGCAGGATGAAGACAAAGCTGATGAGCTGCGGGTTTTTATTGCTGTTGGGCTCAAGCAATTTCTAATCATGCCTCGAGGAAGCTGCAAATGCTGCAGAAGCAGAATTCCTGGCCACTGGGCATTTGTCTTGATTCCCTCCCGGGGTCTGCTCTATGCCGACTGTCAGCCCTTCGGGACAGGGAGAGCCCCCTGGTGGGTACCTGGCAGGGCCCAGGGGTCCAGCACTTGGCTGGGGCTGCCGTAAGAAAGATACAAACTAATAAGATCCATAGAGCCGCTGATTTTAAGACCAGCGCGGCCATTAGATCCTCGGCGCTGAGCTCCGGTATCAGAATCACAGAACTCCAGGGCTGGCCGAGACCTCAGGAGTCACCGAGTCCAGCCCCCTGCCCAAAGCAGGACTAATCCCGACTCAGTCATCCCAGCCAGGGCTTGGTCCAGCCGGGACTGAAACACCCCTAGGGACGGAGATTCCACCCCCTCCCCACCCCCATGAGATGGTCTCATGAGCTTTCATGGACACAACCCACTAGATTCCTCAAGGCAGTGTTAAGAACATCAGAGCAGCCAGACGGGGTCAGACCAAAGGTCCATCCGGCCCAGGGTCCTGTCTGCCCACAGTGGCCAATGCCAGGTGCCCCAGAGGGAGGGAACACAACAGGGAATCTTCACGTGATCCCTCTCCTGTCACCCAGGGAAACCATTCCTGCCCATCCTGGCTAATAGCCACTGATGGACCTAACCTCCATGAATCTAACTAGCTCTTTTTTGAACCCTGTGAAAGTCCTGACCTTCCCCACATCCTCCAGCAAGGAGTTCCACAGGTTGGCTGTGCGCTGAGTAAAGAAAAACTTCCTTTGGTTCCTTTTAAACCTGCTGCCTCATTCTTATGTGATGGGAACAAGTCAATAACTTTTCCTTATTCACTTTCTCCCGACCTGTCATTATTTTAGAGACCTCGATCCTATCTCCCCTTAGTCTCCTCTTTTCTAAGCTGAAAAGGCCAAGTCTTTTTATTCCCTCTGTCTGTTCTAAGGCAGTCGAGTGTTTGGCCCGGGGCAGGGGACAGGGAGCTCCAACGGGTTGGTCCTGACCCGTCTCTGTGATCAAGGCAACCGATTCCCAGCAGGCTTTCTGCTCCACCCCAGAGGCAGCCGTCCTATCCCCAGAGGCCGATGAACCTCTCCCCACCCAGGTCTTCCCGGTGCTTCCTCACCCTCGTGGTAGAGAGTGCTCAGGCCAGAGGATTTCATCCAGTTTCATCTCCTTTGAGTCCAGTACCTTGTGTGTGTGTGACAACAGCGTCATCCTGGAAGGATGCCGTCACGACATGATGCCATCACGAGATGGAGAACCTCCCTCTTCCGTTGGCAGTTTGCCCCAGTGCATGCAGGGGTCCCCGTGGGTCCGGGCCGACCCCCCGCCGAGGAAGACAGGAGGAGAGCAGGGTTGGGATGGTATTAACCAGGCCATGTGCTTTGTCTTTGTGCTCTGTAGGGTACGGCCACGCCGCCCCCAGCACGGATGGCGGGAAAGTCTTCTGCATGTTCTACGCCCTGCTGGGGATCCCGCTCACCCTCGTCATGTTCCAGAGCCTGGGGGAGAGGATCAACACCTTCGTCAAGTACCTCCTGCACCGTATCAAGAAGTGCCTTGGCCTGAGACGGGCGGAGGTGTCCATGGCCAACATGGTGATCATCGGCTTCTTCTCCTGCATCAGCACCCTGTGCATCGGGGCGGCGGCGTTCTCCTACTACGAGCAGTGGAGTTTCTTCCACGCCTACTACTACTGCTTCATCACCCTCACCACCATCGGCTTCGGGGACTATGTGGGGCTGCAGAAGGACGAGGC